GAGGCCTGTGTGCAGGAAGGCGAGTAGCCTGCATGTGTGTCTGTCTGTCTGTCTGTCTGGGTCCCTGGCTTGGCCACAAGTGATGCTGTGTGGGTGGCCGAGTGCCTCCGCAGAAATATTTAATATTGAGCCTGGCTGAGACTGTAAGCGCCACACGGCCTGCAGCTGTGGGGGCAGTGCCCACCCCACCCCCCAGCATATGCCCCTTGTAGGATCGAAGCCTTTTATTCCAAGCCCTGCAGCCCCCCCACCCCACCCATGAGGACCCCAGACTCACTGGTCTCATCGGAGTCACAGCTGTCCGCTTCGGCTCCGTCCTCAGGTGTGGTGGCCCCAAGTAGGGCCACTGGGGGGCCAAGGGCCAGGGGGGCCAGACCAGCTGGGGCTTCCCTGCAGCCCCCACCCCCGCCTTCAGGTCCAGGCCCCCCTCTGGGGAAGTAGTCCGAGATCTGCCGGATAGGCCTGATGGGCCCGGGGCACACATTGATGGCCATGTGCTCCTGGATGCTGATGGTCATGCGGTCACCCCTGCGGCCCCTCATGCAGCACCTCTGGCCAGGCGACAGGGAGAGGGCATAGGTCAGCTGTCTGCTGGCCCAGCATCCCTGGGGCAACCCTGGAAGCCAGGCCAGGGGGACCATCGCTGGCCTCGGAGGGTGTCAGGGGAGCGGTTAGTCTGTGCTAGGAGGTGGGTAGGCAAGAGGCCTGGGTCCTCCTGACCTCACACCTTGGCCCACAGGGGTGGGCTGCCAGTCCACTTCTCCCTAAGATAGGCCCTGGCCACTTCAGTCTTGTACACTTACCTCTCCATTGTCCCTTTCCCTATCTTCCGAGCTCTTGCCGCTCAGTCGGGCTCAGGCCCTGCCCTCCCTCCAAGCAGCAGCACCACAGGCCCCTCCTGGGTCCCTCCGACGCTCCCTCCATCCCTCTGCGCCAGGCCCACCCGACCAGACCGCCAAGGCTCACTGCCCCTCCGTTCAACCGGCCTGCCCGCTCCCGTTGCCCCCCACGGTGGGGACCCCTGCCTCACCCAGATGCCTACCCCACAGCTTCGCTCCCGGGGATGCCAGAAATTGCAGGCGCCGGCGAGCGGAACACCCCCGCAGGCGC